TTTTTTTTCTTTTTCTTTCTTTTTCTCTCCCCCCCTAATTACTTGCATAGGGATTATTCTTTATACTATTTATGTTGCTTGTATTTTTTGTCATGGATTGCACCCGTGAGGCTGAAACCAATTTTGTTGTATACATGACAATAAAGGCTATGCGAAAGGTAAAGGTTCCTCTCGTTCATATGTGCTAGTTGTTCCTGACTCTAGGGGGCAATGCTCATCTCCATTTCAAAGCCGAAGATCCATTGCTGTCCAAAGACGTCTCCGTGGTCATGTGGCCGGCATGACTAAATGCCAAAGGCGCACAGAACGCTGCTACCTTCCCACCAAAGGAGTCCCTATTTTTCAACTTGCATTTTTACATGCTTTCAAACTGCTAGGTTGGCAGAAGCTGGGACAAGTAACCGGAGCTCACTCCATTACACGGTGCTAGGGATTCAAACTGCCAAACTGTCGGCCTTTCTGATTGACAAGCTCAGCCTCTTAGCCACTGAGCCACTCTGTCTCTAAAGGCTATACTATACTATGCTTTTAGAGCACAGTACATCCTGGTCATGACCATATACTTCTTAGTTGGTGGGATGCAGCCGACAGTTTTTTGGCTTGCAAGATAATTCCTAAATCAGAGATCCTAGTTTTCAGTAATCAGCATGCTTTGGATAGCATTAATATTTGCTTACATTAATGTACAAAGTTAACATTATAATGTGCTAAAATTGGCTGATATTGTTCATGTCACCAGGGCTGACATGAATAGCAGTGTTCCAAATATTTGAAGGGCTTCCCCAAAGAAAAGGGAGTCAACCTATTCTCCAAAGCGCCAGAACTCAAGACAACAACGAATGGAAGCTAATTAAAGAGAGATCCCATCTAGAACTAAGGAGAAATTTCCTGACAGTGATAACAATCAACCAGTGGATCAACTTTGCCTTCAAAAGTTGTGAGTGCTCTATCACTGGAGGCTTTTAAGAAGAGACTGGACAGCCACCTGTCTGAAATAGTATAGGGTCTCCTGCTTGAGCAGGGGGTTGGACTAGAAGACCTCTAAGGTCCCTTACAACTCTGATATTTTAGGTTCTATGTTCGATGTCACTACCCGAGATTACTGCATGTGGCATAAGTACCACTAAGGCTAATAACACATACTAACAATAGTTGTAAGGAGCGAGCATTTGCCTGAAGAGCAAGTTTGTGCTTACATGCTAAGGGAAGTGTGAGTTGGATAAGTCAAGAGTACCACGGGAAAGGGACATTTTTGAACCATCTGTAGTAAAATAGGAAGATAAAGGATCAAGAATAATAAGATTAAAGAATGTGAACTGAACATCAAAATGATTGACTGACCACCAATATAAAAATAGTGGCTTGAGGTGGTTCGGAGAGAATGAAATGAAAAGGGAAATGAAATGGAAGATGGAAAGAGATGATGACATTTTGGAGAAGAGAGACATGAGAAATTTAAAGAGCGAAATACAGTGGGAAGTTGTTGGTCATCTATGGAGCTATGGCTGAAGTAAGGCTTGCAAGGACAGACCATTATGAAGAAGTATAACAAATTATGGTAGAGGTGTGTGTGTGTGTGTGTGTGTTCCAGCATAACTCTGGAACGCCTCAAACAATTTCAACCAAACTTGATAAACAAATGACTTACTCTATGGAAACAAATACTGCCGGGGTAAGACACCCCAAACACCCTTTGGAGTGTGTGTTCTGCCTGTTGTATCTTAAAATGACTTCTATTGTACTGCTGTAAAATGGCTTCTACTGTACAACACAATGGATTGCCATGGTAACGGCTTTACAGTACTTCATAAGAGGGTTCCCTCTGGTAAGGGGGAAAATCCAACATTATAAATTACATTTGTTCCACACATTTTCAACACGGTGGAATCATTTTTCTTGACGCTTCTGGGGGCACAGGGACAACATTTTTAACTAATTTAATTGTCGCAGAAATCAGGACTCAGGAAGAAGTTGCCCTTGTCATCACGTCTTCAGGAATTCCAGCAACGTTAATGGAAGGAGGGAGGCAGTCCATTCCACACTTACATAGTCACTTATAATTTGTTCCTTTTCCTGTCCAATATAAGATTGGGATAAATAAAGATCCGGGGAACGCCGGGTTATCAGCTAGTGCGATATAAAAATAAATAAATCTTCCAAATTAATTCTAAATGAATTATTTTAACTTCGTAAATAATTGGGCAACCTTCTTGTTCTTTGATGATAAGGACTTATGATTCAACATAGTTTCACAGCGTTCAATGACTCCTTGTCCTATATGAGTTTCAGGAGATGAAACCGTTCATTGTTTTTGTTTTGCAGGATTTGAGCTGTGCCAATCTACTTCTAAATTTGCAGCCATAAACAAGCAGACATTTCTCGAAAAGGTCAAGGAGGTTAGTCGGATGTCATGTTGCTCAAATGTCCTTAAAGCTGAACCGACTTCCTTGTGATATTAGAATCTTGGCAATAATACAGACATGG